GGTGGTCCTGTCCCAAACCCCTCCGGGATCCTGGGGACGGGGGTGCCCCGATCCAGGGCACCCCAGTGATGGGGGGTCACCCCGATCCCTCGAGGACGGCGGTTTCCCAGCCCCAGCCCCCCCTCCCGGACCTTGAGGAGGGAGAGCCGCGGCCCCAACCCCTCAGGGCCTGGGGGACGGGGTTTGCGGGTCCCTCAGTGCCTCGGTATCGCGGCTGTCCCGCTGCCCCTGCCCGTCCCCTCAGGGCGGGGATGCTCCCGTTCCAACCCCCCCTCAGCCCCGGGGTCACCCCCGCCCGCCCGGGCCGCCACTCACCCGCTGCCCGCGGCCTGGCCGGCAGCTGCACGAAGCGATTGAGGGTCCCGCCGGCGCCATCGCCGCCGCCCGAGGGGCCCCCTGAGGGTCCCCCCGCGCCCTCCCCGAGCCCGAGCCCGGCCCGGGCCGCGGCCGCCGCCGACATAGCCCGGCCGTCCTGAGGGACGGGGCGCTCCGGCCAATCAGCGCGCGGCTTCTTGGGCCGCGACCTATCAGCCGCGCGCTTGTTGGCAGGTGGGAGAGCCGAGCGATCGATGCAGGCTGGAGCAATAGAGCGCCGAGCGCGGAGGCGCGGGGACACTCGCGGGGACACCCGCGGGGACACTCACGGGGACACTCACAGGGGGGCTCGCGGAGACATTTCGGGGGTGGCGCCACTCCCAGAGCGCCCCGAGGGGTCCTCTAGGGCGCGGTGTCGCGGTGGGGAGGGGGCATGAGCATCCCGGCGGCGCAGGCGGAACGTTGTTGCGCGGGGCGGAACGTTGTTGCGGGGCCGCGTTTTCCCGGCCGGGCCGGCGGGAGGAGGGGCGGAGCCGACCCAAGATGGCGGCGCCCAGCGCCGGGACGGCGGCGGCGGTCCCGGGGGGGAGTCCTCGCGGGGCGGTCCCGGTGACCCCCCGGCATATCAGGGACCTCATCGGCCGCGGCATCGCCGCCGGAGGCGCCGGGAATGGCGGGTGAGCGGCCGCGGGGGGCGCGGGGAAGGGGCTGGGACCGGCGGTGGGCAGGGGGAGAGCGGGAAGGGGGCGGGAAGTCCCGGCCGGGTGATGCCGGAGGGTGAGGGGGACCCCTCGCTGGGGGTCCTGGGGGAGAATTGAGGGGCCCTGGGACCCTCAGTGAGGGGCGGAGGGAGGACCCTGAGGGGGGTTGGGGGTTTTTCGGGATTTTTGGGAGTCCTGGTGAGGTTTAGGGGTTTGGGGGTCCGGGATGGGGGATTTGAGGAGCCCTGAAGGGGGTTCGGGTCCCTCATTGGGGGTCCTGTGGGGAATTGGGGGGGCCTTGAGGGGATGAGGAACCCTCAGCGAGGGGCTGGGGGAGCACCCTGAGGGGGGGTTGGGGGTCCCTCGGGGCTATTGGGGGTCCTGGGGGGAATTGGGGACCCCTGGAGGGGGGTTGGGGACCCTTCTTTGTGGGTTTGAGGGCGGGGTTGGGGATCCCCGGGTGTTATTTGGGGTCCTGGGGGGGGGAAATTGGGGATCCCTTGAGGGAGGTTTGGGGGTCCCTCGGTGTAATTTGAGGTCCAGGGGGGTTTTTGGGGACCCTCCCGATGTCATTTGGGTCCCTGAGAGGGGCGGGGGGGGGTTCCTTGGTGTAATTTGGGGTCCTGGGGGGTTTGGGGATCCCTCCAGTGTTATTTGGGGTTTTGGGGGGGGGAATTGGAGGCTCCTTGGAGGGGCTTGGGGACCCTTCATTGAGGGTTTGGGGCCCCCCCAGTATTATTTGGGGTCCTGGGGGGTTTGGGGATCCCTCCAGTGTTATTTGGGGTTTTGGGGGGGGGAATTGGAGGCTCCTTGGAGGGGCTTGGGGACCCTTCATTGAGGGTTTGGGGCCCCCCCAGTATTATTTGGGGTCCTGGGGGGTTTGGGGATCCCTCCAGTGTTATTTGGGGTTTTGGG